GTACAGGGCAGTTCTCCAGGTGGCCTTGAATCAAGCCAGTTCCCTGCCCCACCCCACACCTTTGTGTAACTGTATAACATGCTGAGAATGAAGCATCCTGAGACAAGGAGGAGCTGGTGGGAAGAGCCTCAGTTTCTGTTCCTGTCATTTCCTCCACCCTCAAACAGGATGTCCTTCAATGCTTTAGCCCGATGAATCATGGTACCCCTGGGACATAAAACCTTCTTTCCTGGGCCCTCAGCTATGGGGCCACAGAGAAGAGACCATCCACTCTGAGCAGCTTTCCCAAGCCTTGAGGGACTGATTTGCAATGAAAGCTAGGCTTCTCCTGTCCCTTGCTGCCTATCCGTGGGTAATAAAACTGGGCTTCACGTAACTTGTTGTGGTTATGAATGTTTTGACTCATTGGACTAAGGCAAGTAGTAAAAATGCAGTCCAAGATATAGTGGGCTAAAATGGTAACCAGTACACAGTGAACATCCTTCATAATATGAAACCAGAAGGACTTAATACTCTCAGACAAAGCACACTTCAGAACAAGGACTAGGTAAGAACACTGAGTGATGATAAAGGAGTTAACTCATCAAGCCATAATCCTAAATACATAAGCATCTAATTAATAGAGGTTCTGAAAAAATAATGTGGAAATTGATACAGCTAAAAAAACAAAAAAAAACCCAAAAAGACAAATCTACATTACATTTGTTGATTTCAACTCTACCCACTCAGAAATCAATAGAGCAGCAGACAGAAAAATCAGTAAGCATGAAGAAGAACTGAACAAAAGAATCAAACCTGATCCAAATGAAACTTTAAAAACAATGTGAGCAGGCCAGGTATAGTGGCTTACGCTTATATTCCCAGCACTTTGGGAGGCTGAGGCAGGTGGATCACCTGAGGTCAAGAGTTGAAGACCAGCCTGGCCATCATGATGAAACCCCATCTCTACTAAAAATACAAATTTACCAGGCATGGTGGCACATGCTTGTAATCCCAGCTACTTGGAAGGCTGAGACAGGAGAAGCGCTTTAACTCAGGAAGCAGAGGCTGTACCACAAGATCACACCACTGCACTCCAGCCTGAACAAAACTCCATCTCGAAAAAGAAAAAATGATAGAGAAGGCATACTCTTTAAGTACGCATGGGATATTCGCCAAGATAGAACATATACAGGAAAACAAAATGTGTATAAATTTATAATTAAACCCATACAAGGGGCCGGGAACAGTGACCACACCTGTAACCCCAGCACTTTGGGAGGCCGAGGTGGGAGGACTGCTTGAGCTCAAGAGTTCGAGACGAGCCTGTTCAACATGGTGAAGCCCCACTCTACTAAAGATAATCAACCTGTTGTGATGGTGGGCGCCTGAAATCCCAGCTACTCAGGAGGGTGAGGCAGGAAGATCCCTTAAATCCGGGAGGGACAGGTTGCAGGGAGCCAAGATTGCACCACTGCACTCCAGCCTGGGCGACAGAGTGAGACTCTGTCTCAAAAAATTAAAAAATAGGCCGGGCGCGGTGGCTCAAGCCTGTAATCCCAGCACTTTGGGAGGCTGAGGCGGGTGGATCACGAGGTCAAGAGATCGAGGCCATCCTGGTCAACATGGTGAAACCCCGTCTCTACTAAAAATACAAAA